ACGAGTGAGACCTCGTCGAAACGTCGCCTAGACACCCCAACTTTTACACGGGAAGACACCCGAGGACACCAAAACCTGCATTCCTGTACCCGTGAAAATCTACGAAAGCATATATATATATATATATATATATATATATATATATATATATATATTCTCCTGTGAATGACATAGTAAGGCCTATCACACCTCACAGAGTTCTTGTGAGGAAATAAACTTGGGGGAATAAAAATGTGATAAATCACAATAATAAAAAAAGTAAGGTTAGTCATAGCCAGGGACACTTTTAAGTTGTTGCTGCACTCTTGGCGAGATCAACCAAACTTAATTTCTATGCCCTCCTTTTCACCAATAAATATTTCTGTACAGTGATTTGAGGAAGGGCCTGGTTCAATCTCTGGCATCTCAAGGTAAGGCTAGGAATGCCTCTAGGCTAACCAAGAAAGGTGGACCAATGATCTGACTCTGTATAAGGCAGCTTCCTAAGTGATTAAAATGTCTGAAGAACAAGCATTACCCCACTGCCCACATCAAGGGAAACAATAGGACGACTTTCTTGTTCTGCATTGGCCAGACCCCTTCCAGAGTATTATGTCCAGTTCCGGTCAGCACAGTTTAAGAAGGATATTGACAAGCTGGAATGTGTGCAGAGGAGGGAGACTAAGATAATCAAGGGTTTGGAAACCAAGCCTTATGAGGAACGGTTGAGGGAGTTGGGCAATGTTGAGCCTGGAGAAGACTGAAAGGTGATACCATATCTGAAGGGCTGTCCAATGGAAGATGGAGCAAGCTTGTTTTCTGCTCTTCCAGAGGGTATTAGGACCAAAACCAATGGATTCAAATGGCAAGAAAGGAGATTCCAACGAAACATCAGGAAGAAATTTCTGAAGGTAAGAGCTGTTTGACAGTGGAAGAGACTCCCTCGGAAGGTGGCAGACTATCTTTCATGGGAGGTTTATAAACAGAGGTTGGCTGTCAGGGGTTCTTGACAGGGGTTTCCATCTGTTACAAAGACCTGCCTGAGACAACCTCCCTGGGCAGGTATGTCTTTTCAAAACAAGGTTTGCCAAGCTGGTGCCCTCCAGATATTTTCAACTATAACTCCCATCAGCCTCAGTTAAAAACATCTGCAGGGCACCAGCTTGACAAATGCTGTTGCATTAAAGCAGCAGCAACAACAGGGTGCCTCCAGTCCTACTCAGAGTAGACCCATGGAAACTAATAGACATGGTTCACTTAGGCTTGTTCATTTTAATGGGCCTACTCTGAGCAGGGCTTTGTTGGACACAACCCTGTGTCCATGCATCCCATTTTAAATGGTGCACGAGGGGCAGTCAAGTCGCCAAGGTTTTGTCGAAATAATATTCCAGTTTGCTTGGCAGGAGGACAGAAATCGAGGCGGCTTAGTCACCCAGGGGAATTGGGAGGGGAGAGAAAAGAACATTGGAGGGTTAAACGTGAAGGCATGACTCCGTTGTCAGTTCAAAGGAGGTGACTGCTTGCCAAGTGCCAGGTTAAAAGGGAAAAAAATGCTAAAGGTTTTGTCAACATGCATGTTGGCAGGCAAAGCTTCAAACGACAAGTAATTGTTTCGTGCTGGAAGAGACAACAAGGGCTTTAAAACTGTTGTTAACCCTGCTGAGCTGAAGATATCACCTTTAATTAGTGCAACGTAAGAGCCCCATCTCTCTATCTCTCTTACACACAGAGAGATAAAATTCCTCCTCTCTCGCTTTCTCTCCATCACGGCTCATTGCTACAGCACATGCTGCCTTGCCCCAGGCTCAGACACCCACAGCATCTCCCGGTGGGGCTCAGAATATCCGCTCTGAAACCCTGCCAGTCCGTGTAGGCAACACTGAGCTTGACGAAGCCAGTATAAGGCAGCTTCCCTTGTTCCTATTTAATACAGTCCTTCCTCTGGAAACATGAGGACTAGAATCTTATTTGGAAAATGGCCGCAGCTCAGGGGCAGAGAATTTGCTTTGCATTCAGAATGCCCCCAGTTCAATCCCCAGCATCTCCAGGTAGGGCTGGGAGAGACACACCTGCCTTACAATGGCAGAGAGCTACCTGCTGCTGCTGCTGCTGCTGGTCAGTGTAGACAGCACTGAGTTAGATGCATCAATGGGCTGACTTGGTCAGGTTACTCTGCTTTCCTTCTCACGTGCACAAAGCAGATTTCCCCCAGCCAGACAAATCTTCTCACATGGATCAGCCACATGGTAATCCAACCTAATCCATGGTCTATGGGGTGGTATCCAACTAAATATTGTCTAGCAGAGACCCGTTGACGTTAATGGACTTAAGTTAGCCATGTCCATTAATTTCCATGGGTCTCCTCTGAGTAGGACAAACACCGGCTACAACCCCAAATAAATTAATAGATCCCACCCTGTGCTGAAAACTCAAGATGCCCAGTAGTTATAGAAAGGCAGACCGTGTGTTAGAACCTCCATGTCCAGGGGCAGTCTAGCTCTAAAGAGCAGATGAGGGGAGGAGAGGGAACAACAGAGGGGAGTCTGCGGTCTTGTGGGCTCCCTGGAGGCCACTGACATTGATACAGCCTTGATTCCATCTGCAGAGGTGCTGATAATCTGTTCAGTCACCAGGCGAAAGAAGGGAGCAGGGGAGATCCCACAGCGCACTATGGCTCTATGGATGTTGTTGGACTCCTGCTCCCATCATCCCCTGCTGGCTGGGGCTGATGGGAACTGGGAGTCCAACAACATCTACAGGGATCCATCCATGGCTGGGCTCCGACGGAGCGGAGGTTTTGGTGGTGGTGGTGGGGAGGTATTAGTCATTGGCTTGATCAAATCAAAGAGCCAACACTTCCATCAAACTTCCAATCAGTTCAGAGACTGGCAGAGGCAGGAGGAAGATTCCCACCGCTTCAAAGTAATGTACTTGCAGGAGGTTGGATTAGGTGACCCTTCCAACTCTACAAGCTTGTGATTTTATGATTCACTGCAGGGACCCTGGGAGGTTCCCACCTGATGTCAGCTTTTGAGCAGGTGAAGGTGGATGTGGTCCATAAAAGGCGGGGGAAGGTTGTGCTGTGGACTGTGCTTTGAAGTCCCAACAATCAGCTGATTGTTGGTGCTTCAAAGCACCCATCAGTGCTTGCAGAGCAATGTGTGGTTTTCTTTAAGCCCCCAACAATCAGCTGATAAAGTTTGCTTAGCCTTGCATCCTCCTGCCTTCCTTCTCCCTGAGCCCCACGTTCCATAGGCACTTAAGAAGGTCCTCTTACACCAGGAGTAGGAAACTGGATCCAGCTCTTTACCTATCTTCCCTGCCACAGGCCAAGTTTGCCACACCTGACATCACAGGTGAGACCCATTTCTTTCTGCAGGGTTCTGAAATCAAACCATGCAGGTGCAAATGCAACCAGCTGATCGTTGGCGACTTCAGAGGATTGCACGCAGCTCTCGCTGCAAGCACTGATGACCAGGGTGCTTTGAAGCCCCGGTGATCAGCTGGTTGCCAGGATCTTCAAAACACAGCCCATAGCACAAATTCCTCACCTCCTTCTTGGACCAGGCCCATCTTTACCTGTCCAAAACTTGACATCGGGTGTAGGATAGGTGGGCTTAGTCTGGTCAGAACAGCCTTGCAGGCCAAATGAGGAATGCTTGCAAACTCAAATAGGCCCATGGGGCCAAAGGATCCCATCGCTGCCCAAGACCAAACTGCCTGAGATGCTAGTTCTGACTTCAAGGGACCCTCAGCCAGATCTGGGCCAACCTGCTGACCTCTTAACACCTGACAACACCGATGTAACAAACTTGAGAACTCTCCTCGAACTGACCACCGGTCCATCAGCTCCAGCATCCTCTAGTTTCTGTTTCCTGTTTGCCACAGTGGCCAATCAGGTGCCTCAGTCTGAAAAGTCCACCATCAACCACCAGGGCTTGAAGGCAGTAACCCTCATTTGCCACAGATCCCCAGCAACTGGATATTTAGAGGTAGCCTGCATCTGAAAATGAAGGATCCATTCCTAACCTCTGTGGCCAGTAAGAACAGAAGAGGAGTCCTCTTGAGTCAGGCCAGATGTGCATCTAGTCCAGAAATCTGTTCCTACAGTGGCCAACCAGGTGTTTTAGGAAGGCCACAAGTAGGTCATGAGGTCAACAGCTCTCTCTTGCTGCTGCTCCCAACCAACCCTGACTCCGATCCTAGGAGTAGCATATAGTCATCAGGACTGGTACCCGTTGGTTGTTTTATCCTCCATGAATTTTGTCTAATCCCCCTCTTTCACAGCCATCATCACTACACCATGCCAGAAGTTCTGTTGCATTTGCTTTGTCCTGAGTATGTTGCCAATCAATATTGCCAAGCTATCAAGAGGAGAATACATATGCTCACTCCACTGGAAGAGTTGGAGTTCCCGGGAATGTCTGCAATGACTCTGACAACAGAAAGTTCTCTGCACATGCTCAGAAGCCCTTTTCTCCAGCCTGCCCAGTTGCCAAGGACAATCACCAGCTACTTAGCCTATCTTAGGTGAAACCTGGACCAACAGTATCTTCAAGACACGACATCGCAAGCTGAAAAGTGGCGTTTGGCTCTGTGTTTGAGATGAAATGTGTGAATGTCACAGAACTACAAAACGAGCAGCAAAAGAAGCCATCGCTGGGACATGCTCTCTGCATGCATGTTCATTGCACTAAATACTTTGAAAAATAGACAGATGTGAACTCACAGAGCTAAGGCAAAATATTTCACCTATCCATGCCAATTGTTGTATTAAGTGTTCAGCTGCTGCACTATTTCAAAAGAAAAGAAAAGAAAAGAGCAGGCACCTACCATTTTCATGGCGAGAACAACTGCCCTCCCCTCAAAGTCTGCTTTTGTTTCATTTTACAATCCATTGTTTCTGGCCCTCCCTGAGGTTTCTGAGGAAATCTCAAAAAACCATGGCAGTAGTTGTGTGTGACAATTGTGCCTGTGTGTGAGTTGGGAGGGAGGAGAGGCTATTGTGACAGAAGGCAAAGTGGAAGGAAGAACCAGAGGCGGTTGTTCTTTTAGAGATCACAAAGCAAGATTTCATGATTTGGGGAGTGGGGGGACAGTGGTGGACCCCCCAAGTTTTTATTGACAGTGGAAAGGCATTAGTTTATCCCTCTGTGGCGGTGGTGAACAGGGCATCTGAATCATTCGCAACGAGTGCAACCTTCAGATGTATGCCTGTGAGGAAGAAACACTGTTTCTGATTGCAGTGTTGGATCCAGGCTTGAATTGATTTGGCAGGGTGTGTATTTGTGTGCATGTTGAAATAACCGCAGCTGACGCTCCCCCCCCCACACACCCTGTGGTCTAATCAGTATCAAACACTGGAGATTGGGGAACTGTAATTGCATCACTCAATAAATCTTGCTCATTCAACTCTCCCCACCAATGGGCTGATGGCACTAGAAGCTGCCCTTGAGCTATGGGGCTCCCCCCTGGAATGCCTTGCTTCCTCTCTAACCCAAGGAAGACACAGGAGGGTAGCGGGTACCCTTTTGCACTGAGAAACCGGGGCTCCGAACCAAGAGAAAACCCCAGCGATGGGAGTCCTCTCTCTTTGAGCGGCCCCCTTAGAAGCACCTGGCTCTCGAATCCCCCCCCCCCCTCGTGACTGGGAAGCATAAAGGACACCAGGGGAGCCTCAAAGCAAACTCCCCCTTTCTTCTTCTTCTTTTGCCATGGGTTTGGGTTGGGACTGCAACCGGCTAGCTGGCATCCCTTGGTACACGGACCACACAACGACATTCTCCTCTCGAAACAAAGAGACGCAAACGGAGGAACGAAATCTCGTCGAAGGATAAAATCGGCAGAGCTTGTCATAGCAAACCTGCCCCCCAAATTTGAGCCTTTCCTTCATCAGCCTGGCTCCCAGAACCTTCCCGAATGAAGACCATCACAGAGGAAGGCCTGAGGAAGTTGGAGGAGGCATGGAGGAAAGTTCCCTTTGCTGTGTCCACCTCCTCTTCCAGTAGGAAAGGGGGGGGGCTTTCCAGGCCCTAGAGCCGAGCCCCTGATTTTGATAAGCCCAGCACTCCCTTGCTCAGAGTTCAGCCCGTCTTGCTTGACCCCTAAGATGCAGGATTAAGGGATCTCCTCCCAACGTCTGTTCTCCCCACCCCAAACACAAGCGGATTTGATCCTTCGACATCAAAACAGAAAAAGCAGAACAACTCTAAAGGAAGGCAAGAGATACACCATCCGAACCCCCCCAACAAACCCCCACAGTGCCCCCACTTCAAGACATTCCAAACATAAGGGAACGAGAACAGAGGTTTTTCTCTTTTTTTGTAAAAAGAAAAAGAAAAAAAGAGTCAAAAACAAGAGTACGCCATCGAAAAAGAAGATAAAACAGCCTCAAAAGGAGCCGGAAGGAAGGAAGGAAGAAGGGAGGGAAAGAAGGAAGGAAGGAAGAAGGGAGGGAAGGAAGGAAGGAAGGAAGAAAGAAAGGTATCATCACTCACTCTCCAGGTCTGTGTTTAGTGCGATTTTGGCAGCCGCAGATATGTAGTACAAGCAAGCAGGAACAAGGGGTTTTGAGGGGTTCTCAATGTTCGGGTGCGTGTCCCCCCCGTTTAGTAACAATGTTTTATACAAGTTCAAAGAAGCATTGTGAGCCAAGCTGATCTTCTTTCTCTCTCTCGTTCCTCCTCTGTCCCCTCGCCGATCTCGGTCCCCCACCATCATCCCTCTGTCTGTCCGTCCATTGCTTCCTGGGCGCGAGAGAAATTCCTTTGACATATTGGTTGGGTGGGTTCTGTTGTCATTCAGTCGAGGTTGGGTTCCGATCCGCCACTTCCTCCTCCTCCTCCCCCCTGCTGCCCGGCCGCCAGGCCCCACCCTCCCCACTCAGATGAAATACTCCTTCTTGTCATCCCCACCAGTTTGACCGCCCTCGGCGTTGATAATGGCTGTGTCTGCGTCTGGGGCGTCGTCCGAGCCTTTGGCCTCGTGGGTCAGGTAGGTGCCTGCATAGGGACACAGAAAAAGAGAGGAAGCTACCAAATTGGGTCATTTGGCTTGGAGCAACAGTGGAGCTTATTTAGGATGGCTAAGAAAAGTGGGAAGGGTCTGTACCACCACAAGGGAACATGGGACTTGCATGGTTCACCCAACCACACCTCCAAAAGACATGGCTTACGTGCAGAAGATCAGAGGTTCAGCACCACGGGCATAGTCAGGGGCAGCAACTGCCCCCCTAAATCAAGTAAGTAAATAAAAAATACTTAACCAAAAGTATTTGGTTAAGTACTTGGGACGCGGGTGGCGCTGTGGGTTAAACCACAGAGCCTAGGACTTGCCGATCAGAAGGTCGCCGGTTTGAATCCCCACGACGGGGTGAGCTCCCGTTGCTCGGTCCCTGCTCCTGCCAACCTAGCAGTTCGAAAGCATATCAAAGTGCAAGTAGATAAATAGGTACCACTCCGGCGGGAAGGTACACTGCTCTGGTTCGCCAGAAGCAGCTTAGACATGCTGACCACATGACCTGGAAGCTGTATGCCGACTCCCTCGGCCAATAAAGCAAGATGAGCGCCGCAACCCCAGAATCGGCAACGACTGGACCTAATGGTCAGGGGTCCCTTTACCTAACCAAAATTAGAAATGATCAAAATATTTGAAATGGAAATGCTCGCCAAGGTCACTCTGATGATGTTGTGGCGCATTCTAGTGACCTGACAGAGCGATAGGCGTGGCTTCCACGAACTGACCAATCGCGTCACAGGTAGCTCGGTTCTGGAACAGGACAGGTGGGTGTCTTGCTGCCCCAACATAAATCCTGGCTACGCCCACATTCAACACCCCCTTTCCCAATAACTCCAGCTAGAGCCACGTTTCCTTCTGGAGAACTCTTTGAGGGCCATATGCAACTGGTGGGCGGGGCCAGAGGCCAAAGCAGGCAGAGCAACGAGTGCAATTTAAAAAATCTTTGTACTGTAGGTTAGTTTCCACACAAACAAACACACCTCTCTATCGCCTATCCAGGCAAACATTTCAGACATTTCCAAAAGCCCTCAAGGAAGGTGTGAAGCAGGGCTGGCGAGGGGAGCAGCCTGAGCAGAGTGTGGATGCAGCTGGAGAAGGGTATGTGGAGCCCCAATGGCCAGATAAGAGATGCCTGGAGGGCCACATTCAACCCTTGTGGTCTACCCAGCCCCGGTTTGCAAGACGCAGAAAACATTTGTGCAGGTTTGAGTTGAAGCCTACCTTTGTGCCGGATCAGGTAGTGACCCAGAACAATGAGGAGGATAAGGAGCAGGAAGACAATGACAGCCACTATTCCCCCAATGATGGCGTGGTACGTGCTCCCACTGTGGGTCATGGGGCTTGCATCTATCCAGAGGGAAAGCAGAAAAGGGAAAGGAGAAAAAGTTGGCTGAGAAAAAGTTAGCTGAGAAGCGGCCAAGAAAATCCACACATCTCACTGACTGGCTTTTCCTTCCAAGCACCCAAACCAGAGCAGTCGAGGCAGAAGCGGGCGAGGGATGAGGCCAGGAGGAAGAAAGAAAGCGGAATATACAGAGGGGAAGATGAAATACTCCCCATGCTGGCCACAGTGAAATTCCCTGTCCTCCATACCTTCATTACAGTGGTACCTCGGGTTAAGAACTTAATTCGTTCTGGAGGTCTGTTCTTAACCTGAAACTGTTCTTAACCTGAGATAACACTTTAGCTAATGGGGCCTCCCGCTGCCGCCACCCAATTTCTGTTCTCATCCTGAAGCAAAGTTCTTAACCTGAGGTAATATTTCTGGGTTAGCGGAGTCTGTAACCTGAAGTGTATGTAACCTGAAGCGTATGTAACCCGAGGTACCACTGTACATAGTTTCTGTCTGATGCTGAAGACACACCTCTTTACTCTAACACAGGGCTCAGCAAGCTTTTTCAGCCGTGGGTCGGTCCACCATCCCTTAGACCACGTGGAATGGCCCGGCGATATTTTGGGGGTGGGGGGGAAATGAATGAATTCCTATGCCCCACAAATAACCCAGAGATGCATTTTAAATAAAATGACACATTCTACTCATGTAAAAACACGCTGATTCCCAGACAGTCTGTGGGCCGGATTGAGAAGGCGATTGGGTTGCATTCAGCCCACGGGCCTTAGTTTGCCTACCCCTGCTCTAACACCAGAGATAGAGGATTGCATCCGGTAACTTTTGTGGGGGTTAAAAAATAAGACACCAATGCAATGTAATCAGTATCAGTGTGGTGTAGTGGTTTAGAGCATAGGACTAGGACTTGGGAGAGAAGGGTTCGAATCTCCACTCAGCCATGAACGTCACGTATAACCTTGAAGCTTTTGAAAGGTTTTGGTTTGACGTTCCTAATGTTTTCTCTCTTATGCATCGTTACCATGTTGAAGGGCAACTGAAAGCTGTAGCTGAATAATAGGCCCCACATAGCAATAGGTCTCTGTTTTCTCCCAAGTACATGAAAACAGGAGGCTCTGCCAAAACGCCTTGTTTGTGGTGGACTTGTACTTAAAGAATGTGAGGTCTGGAGGGTGGCAACACAAGAAGGGGCCTTTTCTGTAGTGGCTCCCCATTTGTGTAATTCTCTCCCCTGGGAGGCTCACCGGGCACCTCCATTATATATTTTTAGGTGCCAGGTGAAAATATTCCTCTTCAACCAGGCCTTTGGCTGATTAATATCCCACAGCCTTTTAAATGTGTCTATGGGAGCAGGGGAGTATTGTTTTGTTGTTTTTGCTTTAATTCTTTATCTTGTATTTTATTCTGTGAAGTGCCCTGAGATCTTGTGACGAAGGGTCATATACAAATTTAATAATATATATATATATATATATACACAAATATATAACCAACAATAGTGATATTTCTATAGCAAGCAGCATATAAATCCCCTAAAATAATTGTGATAAAAACAATGGGGTGTGGTATTTCTGTAGTAGCCAGCAGTATATAAATTGCCTAAATAAAGTAGTAGTAGTAACAATGATAAGTAAGTAAATAACTATGACTATTTCTGCAGCAACCAAGCATCCCGCAGGAGAAAGCAATAAAGTGACCCAAGTATTAGCAAAGCCATTCTTATTCCTGAATCTGGAAAACCAGCAAGATAGGCCAGGCCATGGACCCAAATATAAGACAGCTAAATCCTCGGCTGAGATGCCTCAGCAGGTGGCTCCCTGGTGGCTCCCCCCCCCCCCGCTCCTGCCAATCAAGTGCCCATCCAGAACCCAGGGGGGATTATTTGGGAATGAAGATGCTCACTCAACACAGCAGCCTGAGTGAAGGGGTTAAGTGGTTGCTATGGTGACATAATCGGTGGACCTTTAAAGGTGGAGGACTAGCTGTGGGGTGAGCAGACGAGGTGCCGGCAAGGCAGAGAAAGTACATTTGGCTCCAGCATGTGGGGGCCAGCACGGTATGGTGCTTCCATGTGTTCAAAGCACTTTGCACGTGCTATCCCAGAATCATAGAATTGCAGAGAGTTGGAAGGGACCCTGAGCGTCATCTAGGCCAATTTCCTGCAACGTGGAAATCATGCCATCTTCCTGACAACAAGGTGGGTCGGCATTATGATCCCCGCCCATAACGCAGATGGGGAGACTGAGTCCAAAGGGCTGCAGCTTGCCTTATGCTACCACGGCAGGATTTGAACCAGGGACTTCCTGATTCTTAACGCAGCCATCTAGCCACCATGCTACACCAGGGCTGGGGCTGCTAAGAAGTCTGCAATCAGTTCAGAGTCTGATAGTGCAGGAATTGTTTAGGGAGAAAAATCACAGACACACACACACACACACACACTTCAGAGAGCACTTGATTGATGCGTCCTCAGGAGCACAACCACCTTTGGCCTCCTTACGGATGCCACACTCTCAAGCGGTTATTGTCGCATGCAGCGAAATTGGTCCAGGCACTAAACACACAAGCCAGATGCGCAAATCCCTTTGCTCCAAAAAAGAAAAAGTCTTGTCTCATATTCCCCCCATCAATACTGCATTTCAAGAGACTTTTTATGTATCCCACCTTCCTCCGAGGAATCAGGCTTTCCTGCCTTTTAAGCAAGTTGACAAACAGATTCAACTGTTGTGGTTTTGTTATTTTATTAGGTACTTTTGCATTGTTCCAGATTAATTTTTAATGGTCGTTGCATTGTTTCCGATGAATTTTTAATGAAGCTTATTTCGAGATTATATAATGTCAAATCATATGTGTATGTGTGTACACACACACACGAGATGCAACACACCCGTGCTTTATTTTTATCTTATCATGGTATGCACTATTCATATGGTGTGCACAAGATAAGACAGCAAGGGAATTGAGATTAACATTTTCATTTGATTCCCTTCGAATTCAACGTGTTGGCAATTACTGTGGTATTTTCTTTTCAAAATATGTAGAAGTAGTTGTTAGATCTCAAGAATATTTGTGCTCCATGCTTGCATTAATGCTGCATAAAACTTCTCCCCACCCCCAGTATCTCCCTCTCTCCCTCTCTCTAATTTTGCCTTCTGTAAATGTTTCATTTTCTTAGTTCAGTAAAAAATATATGGACCCCCTGACACATAGGCAGTGTTAGAAACTCAGATATATAAGCTAGGCTCACTTGGTAGAGCATGAGGCTCTTAATCTCAAGGTCGTGGGTTCAAGCCCCATGTTGGACGAAAGGTTCCTGCATTGCAGGGGGGCTGGACTAGATGACCCTCATGGTCCCAACCCTACAATTCTATGATTTAACGCTGTTCCCCATTCTAGGCTGAGAAGAAAAGAGTATTATTACAAAAATATAAGAAGAGCCTCCTGAGACTATGAGACCTGTTTTCACCCTGGCCAGCAATCCTGGGAAACACAAAGAATGCAGTCCTCCGACCAGCAGAGGGTGCTGTGAAACAATGCTCACCATGAACATTCAGGTTGTATATTGCCGTGGAGATGCCCATAATGCTTGAGGCATAGCAGATGTAGGTCCCGCTGTCGCTTTTGTTCAAACTGTCGAAGACGAGGATGTTGTCTTGGGCCTCGGCTAGGGGTGCCTGAGCCCCCTGCTTCTCCCACTTGTATTCCTGAGGGCTGTGAGGGAGGGAAGAGAGTTGGTGAGAGTCAGCAGAGCTTGAGGTCAGAGGGATTACACATCGCCCTTCAATGATCTGGAGGCCCCGGTCTATTGGGGGATACAAAGCTGTTCTAGGCACACGGTGAAACAGCAAGGCCTCGTCTTCTTGCCTTGGTCTGGCTGAGACCAACTGGTGCCCAGCAGTGGAGGCGGGTCCATTCGGGCAGAGGGGACACTGCCCCACCAACCACAGTTTGTTCTCCACCTGTCTGCTTTCCAGCTTCCAACCAATCAGGAGATGGCGCAGCCTGCCAGGTTCCTCCTCCTCCTCAGTTTCCAGGTTGCTCTTGAAAAACTCAGCAGGGGGGAAGAGGATGGAGACAAAAGTAGACTGAGTTGGTGCTGCCTGCCATTGGCTCTGGCTCCACCAATCCCAATGGGCTCCAGAAAAGGACCTTTTTGGAAATAGCTCCCCCAGTGTGGGGTGCCCCTTTGAAACAGCCTCACTAGGTATCCTCATTTTGTTCTTCTCAGTGCCATCTTAGGCGTCTTCAGATAATTTAAACATTGCTGGTGTTTTCAGCTCTCCCTGGTGGCTTCCGCTCAGTTATCTAGTTTTGTACTGGGGTCGTTTTTCATGATTTTTTTTTTAGAGCTTCTCGTTTGCCTTTTAGTAATTTTTTGAATCATTCAAAAGATCAAGAGGGCATTGTTAATGGGGTGGTATACACAGGATAAGGCCATTTAGAGAGCAAGTGTGGTGGAAAAGCTGGAGTGGCCCCGGGAGACCAGGGTTTGAATCCCCTACTCAGCCATGGAGCTCACTGGGTGAGTCTGGGCCAGTTACTGCTTCTCGGCCTAATCTGCCTCACAGGGTTGTTGTGGGGATTAAAAGAGGAGAGAGAGAGAACCATGGATGCCACTTTGAGCTCCTCAAACAAAAAGGTGGGGTATTAAATTCCATAAATAAAGAAATACATTTAAGTGATTGTTTAATGACCAGTGAGCAGAGTGCATTTGACCCTGATCTGAAACCACCTAGGAGGTAGGCAGGAATAACGTGAGCAAGTGAAGAGCAGTGGGACTGGTATGACTGAGAGGTCAACAGTAGATGAAGCCAGAGCCAAGGAGAGGCAGAGCCAACTCATCCTAGTTTTGCCCCTATAATCCTTTTCCCTTGCAGAGTCATACTATCCAACATTTCTCTGATGAACATAGGGATGTTCTATTCAACAATAATTATAACGATACCCCACCCACCTGACTGGGTTGCTCCAGCCACTCTGGGTGGTTTCCAACATATATGAAAACAATAAGACATTAAACAAACCTCCCTATACAGGGTTGCCTTCAAATGCCTTCTAAAGGTTGCATAGTTACTTATCTCCTTGGCTCCTTGCTTGCATACCCGCCAACTTTTCTCTGATGAAAATAGGCACATCCTAAGGAGAAGTGGGACATTCTGGGATCAAGTCAGAAGCTTCTGTAAATCCGGGACTGTCCCTGGAAAACAGGGACACTTGGAGGGTCTGCGGAGTTCTATAAAAGCAGACTAAGGAGGAGGAAGCTGGCTGGCAAAGCCACTCCCTGGACTGGCTTGAGTCAACAGGCAGGCAGGTGGGGGCTGGCTCAGAGCAGACTGAGGTTGGTGGGGCATTGGCACACAGGCCCCAATGGACCAACCTTCACTGGACGCGAGGTTCTTTGCCGTTTCCGCATCAGAGGAGAGAAGGAGACTAACATTGGGTTGCCTCGTCCATCGCAGCGCAGCCTCAGATTTTGTCCTTCTCGTGGGCTGTCGGGATACGATTTGATTTCAGCTGTTGGCTTGTCTGGGGAGAGAGACAGAGGAAGAAAGAAGGGAAACTGCTGTCATTGTCACAACCAGATCCACCTTTGACCTTTGACTCGGTGGCGGAGCCTCTGCTTTGCATGCAGAAGGTCCCAGGTTCAATCCCCAGGTAGGGCTCTTGTCTGTAAATCTGTAATCCTGGAGAACTGCTACCAGTCATTGTAGATCAGGGATGGGGAACCTGTGGCCCTCCAGATGTTATGGGATCCCCCCAGCAACCACCATAGAATCACAGAGTTGTAGAGTTGGAAGGGAACAGCCGTCTATCTTATTATATGGCAGCTTCCCTTGTTCCTAGGGGATGACTGCCATTACCACTTCCAAATCCATAGCTCAGCCTTTACCAACCGGTTGCCCTCTAATTTTTACCATATTGGTCTGAATATAGGCTGCATTTCCTCCCCCAAATCTGGCTTGTATTAAACCTGAGTGCAACCAACTGGTTGTGCTTTCCTAGACAGAGAAGACATATAGTGCGGACAATATTTGAGGGCGGCATATCCAGACCAAAATGGTATTTATTTATCTGTTTAAGTGAGCAATATTGTGAAAACGGGGAGTTTTCACAATAAAACCTAGATTAAAAACACACACATAAAGTACTGTAGTGCACAACCCAGTCTCTGAGTGATGAGATACTTTGTGGGTTCCTCAGCTTGCTTACCTAGGGTTCAGTTCCTTGGAATGATAGTCAACAGAGATGGTGTTGCTTTTTTGCTACAAGTTTCTATTAACACATATATACAACCTGGGCATAGAATGGAGGGACTCACAGCATTAACACTCCAACAGAGCTTTCTTCCCCATTAGGGTTCCAGGGAAGCCCCAAGTCACAGCTCTTGGGTCTAGTACAGAGCATGGCGGTATCTCTGTGTCTCCAGCTTCCAGCATCAGCCCAGCTCTTACACACAACTTTCTCATAAACAGCTCCCCCTTGGCCTGTGCTCTCCATCCCAGGATGATGCAGCATCCAGCCAGGTGAGCTGAGAAAAGAACCACCCATTTGTCTCTATGGCAACAGAGCAACCACTTTGGATATGGTAAATATCCAAATATTCTGGCCAGCCAAAGCCATTACTTTAACAAAAGAACTGGTTTGGCTGGTTCATCACACTCTTCTGCTATCACTGGATACAGGATCACAGTATCATCCATACTGACCACAAATACATTAAAAAAAACACGCTACTGTTCTTAACATGCACAACAGAACAGCTCCCAATTCACCAAAGACCAATTGAGGAAATACCAACTGAGGAAATACATGGACGACCATGAAGGAAGGGTTTTTAGAGAGAGAGAAAAGTGTTTTGATTAATACTCTAAATAGAAGAGGGCCGTTGCCTCAATGGCATGACAGTCTTTCCGGCATATGGAGGAGCAAGATAATAAGGACAGAACAGATAACTAGAGCATGAGAGATGAGATTTCAGAAGAAGATGAATATCTGAGGAGCAAAAGGCCCAAGGAGAAGAAGGCGTTTGAAGCAGAAGCAGAGATGATGAGCTAGCAAGGGCCTAAATCCATGAAGAAACTCAAAAACACAAATAAAAGCTTAGTCAGATCCACTAATAGAGAGGACCGTAGTGACCCATGAATCAACATATTTCTGAGGGAAACAATAAACGTATTCATTTACATATATATTATATAGCTCTGTAACCTTAATTGTATTTTATTGCTATTGTTTTCCTCCGCTTTAAAAAAAATTTTTTTGTATGTAGTCTTTTTCTTTTCCCCTTTCCTTTCCTTTCCTTTTCCTATTTACCGGTAACTCACTGTAATACTTTCAATAAAATATGAAAATAATAATAATAATGTCAGGGGTTCAGGAGCAGAGGCAAGGGCAAGGGAGGAAACAGAGAGCGAGGGGGAGGAGGCAGAGGAGAAAATGAGTGATGACGACGACCCGAGATCTCCGAGTCTTTCCAGTGAATCAGACGATTCACAGGAAGGAGCACCAGTGGCCAGGGCAAAGGGGGAGACTAGGGGGACACCCCAGGAAGATAGAGCCAGAGGGGACTCAGAGGGGAGCAGTTGGAAATCCGGACCAGCGTCACCGCCAGAGAGCAGGGAAGAGGAAGGGCGCCAAGGATCAAGCGCTGGCAGCTCACAACAAGGGGGAGGGCACGAGTCGGAGTGGCCACACCTCCATCGGGGAGCGAAGAAACGGTCAGAAGGAAAGTGGCAGGTTGGGCGCGCGCGCCAAGTTCAAATGCACAGGAAGGTGACGCAGTGAGCAGCCCGGAAAGGGAGCCAGGTCCTAAAGCCCGGCGCAAGGAGACAGAAGGGTCCGGGGGGTCAGCGTCAGAAGAGTCCCGGAAGGAAGAGACCCAGGGGGCAGAGGGACCCAGAGAAGAACAGTCAGGCGGAAAAGGTGGAGTAAGGCTAGGGTGTTAAGTTGGTGTACAGGGGGCGGAGATTCAGACGGAGCTTCGCCGGTCTAGCCATAAGACGTAGAGTTGCACGCAGCAGCTTGAGAATGGAAACTGTAACTCAATAAAGACTTTTATTTTAATGATCGCTGGCTAGCGTGATCCTCTGTGAGCTAGGATCTGGAAGCGACTCTGACAAATAATAATAATAATAGTAACAACAACAACTGCAGAGAGGAGGGCCCTCGTGATGCTCCGCAGGCCACACTCCCTCCCCAGCCGCACCCCTCTCTCCAGGCACAACCCTGGCTGGAACGCTTCCTTGCACTCTTGTTTGTCTAGAAGGAAGACAGAGAGGTGTGTTTGTGTAGAAACTAGCCTAGTGTACAAAGGTGACACTTACACTAACTGCTCCGCTTAGTTTCCCCTCTGGCCCCGCCCACCACTGGCATATGACCCCTTGAAGGATGCCTAGAGGGGAATGTAGCCCTCCCTGCCCCTGCACAAACAGGAGCTGCAAAAGTCAATTAAGTATATATATCTCTCTCTCTCTCTCTGGTACAAGGAGGGCTGATAACCTTTCTGGTTGGCCTGCAAAAGGGACCCTTTTCACAGAAGGGCATTTGCCCCTCTTATCCTCTTCAACCCTCTCTAGCAGTGCCGTTTTTCCAGAAAAAGAGGTGCCGGAACTCACCATGAACACCGCCCTCCTTCTCTTAGAGTAGTAATGGCGTGCGAGAACCGAGTTCCGGCGAGTTCCATCTGAAAAAAGGCCTTGCTCTCTAGGTCCACCAAGGCTGGTAGCCCAGATCTCGGGTGAGGAAAAAAGCCTTTTCCAGCTCTGCAACTCAACATCTTTGCAAGTTGGGGGTGAGGAACCCAAAACACCTTCAGATGTTATTGGAGTCCCAAATCCCATCAGTCCCAATGACCAATGCTCAAGAGAGGCTAATGAGCATTGTGGAGTCTAACAATGTCTGGAGGGTGAAATATTTCCCATCTCTGGCAGTGCTTTTTTCCTGGGGGTACTCAAGGGTATGGGCACCTTTTCCCACCAAATGTTAAAAGTGTGGCGCTTAACTGTAACTACTTCCTGGTGAGTAACCACACCTTTTTTTTCCTAAAAGAAAAAGCACTGAATTCTCTGGTATAGAAAGCAGAACAGGACTCCAGTTCCCATCTGCCATCTGCCCCACCAGCATGGCCAGTGGTCCAGCAATGTATAAATCGCCCCAGGTTTCCTATAGTTGCAGCAGGAGAAGCCAGGGCTGGGGGACCTTTGGGCTCTCCAGATATTGCTGGACTCCAGCTCCCATCAGTCCCAGCCAGCAAGGTGAGGATTGATGGTGAAAAATGATGGAAGCTGGAGTCCGACAACTTCTGAAGGACACCAGGTTCCCCATCCCAGCTTGTTGTTATTTATTTATCTATTATTACCTTTACACCCCAACTTTTCTCCAAGTGGTGTACACATTCCTCCCCCTCTCCATCAGCAACCCTGTGAAGTAGGTTAGATTGAAAGGCAGTGACTGGCCCCCAAGATCACACAGAGAGCTTCACCAGCAAGTGGGGTTTCGAACCCTGGTCCCCCAGGTCTTAGCTCAGCACTCTAAACCACCCGCCCCCTCCATTGCCCACAGCTCACGTACAAAAGACTGCTAGCTTCTGGGAGGTGGACTTGTCAGAGTTCTGCAGGGACTCATGGTCAACTGTGCAGGTGACCTCCACGCCATTGTCCTCTTTCCCGACGGTGAATTCTACGCGGCTGGTGACCGTGAACGTCTTCCCGTTAGCATCTTCTTCCACTTCCGAAGGTTCAGCTGTTTGGGGGAAGATGGCGTAAGAACGGCTGAGTGGCCACAGGGAACTGTGGCAAAGAGAACAGTTTGGATTCTCGACCAAATGAAAGAATCGTTCCTTGGTTCATTCTGGCTAGGTCGCCTGGAAGCAGTTTTCGACTCACCATGGGTGATTAACCGCCTGCCTTTTAAGTGATTGATTCAGGGGGCAGGGGACCCCAAATTGTCAGAGGGGCAGAGCTGTCCCGTGGCCTCATACCTGAGAGCAGCTTATCGCCCTTATGCCACCGGAGCTCAGCAGCCGGCTTGCTGCCAGAAGAGAAGCACGTCAGCTGGGCCACGTCTCCTTCTTTAAGAGGATCGGAGTAGCCAGAGATCTGGGGTTTTTGCGGGATTCCTGCAAAAAGGGAAAGAAACCTGGGACACTGAGGACTAGCGACTTGGTTGGAGAATCCTCAGCTACGTAGCAACCCTCCAAGACGCTGGAGATGGAGGGCAGTAACACACAGGCTTAGTGTCTAGTTAAAAAAAAAACCATAAGCAACCATCGGCCGAAATTCTCTGCAGGAGTGGAGCAGGACCACTCTATCCTTTCGCATTTCTATGGTGCAACCCCTCTGTAGTTCCCAGAGTCAGACTGTGCTTTTGGCTTCTACCTCCCAGCAGCCCTCCCAGACATGGACCCTTGAGGTTGCACATCAGGTCTAGCCACACACACACACACCCGCTCTCTTTTCACTGTCCCTTAGTAACTCCATGATTTATTTATTTTTTGAGGGGTGTCCCTAGACTTAGCACCCACTCCAGGAGGCCTCCAAACCTGGAAGATACAAGACATGCAAACTCAGAATTCCCTTAGGCTGCCACTGAAATTCCTGGCTGCTCTGGGAGAAGTGGAAGCCGGAGTGCGGCTAGGGCAGGAGGCCCTCTGCTAGGCTTGGGGATGCTGGCTCCTGCTTGCCTTCACTACCCTCTGGCACTGACTGGCCTTGCCACCCCCTCCCTGCTCTCCTGGCCTCACCCAGCACAGTGACGATGGCCTTGGCGGTCCTCACAGGCATGGTGAAAATGGAACAGGTGTACTCGCCCTCGTCTGCCAGGGTCGCATTGTCGATACTGATGGTCAGCTCGTTGGGCGTAGACCTCTCCAGCTGGATGCGGAGATCTCTCAGCGCTAGGGGAGCAGGGAAAAAGGAGCGTTGCAAAATGGGTGAGTGAGGTTGCTTTAAGAAAAACTAAAATAGCACATGGTAATGGTTTCTAATACTGAAATTGAGAATGCCCTGTTGGAGAAACTCACCTTTCTTTTTTCTGCTTTTTGTGGGATGTGAAACACAAGAGCAGTCAAGTACAACATTCCTAGAGTGAACATGTTTAGACATGGAGAGGAATGTTTGTTCATCCAGCAGGTAAACTTCCTGTTTCCTTCTGGGCTGGGACAGACTTCCTCTGCATGTGACTAGAGGTGGGTGTAGCCTCACCTGTGCAGGTAATGACAAAAGCACAGGGCAGGGCAGCCACCTTTCTCTCTCTCTTTTTTTTTGACTACATGGATCGAAGAAGCAACATCTGCTTAGCCAAAGATGCTCTCTTGGCTTCCAGCCAAGAGAGGACAGGGACTGTCTCCTTATGAGATAGTTTCCAGGTGTATGTTACTTTTCTAAGCTAAGTCTGCCTTCTGGGATCCAATTGTGAACAGAATGTGAGTAAATTCTTTTTATACTTTTATAGAAAGACTGTGTTGTGTCTTATCTTTTATAAGGGAATATATATCTGATATATTATTATTATTAGCTATTTAATGCCCCAAATAGGCTTCTATGAAATCCAGGAAAAAAAGCTATAAAGGTGGTTTCTCAGTAACTTCCTCTCTTGGAAATGTTGTAGTCATAATTGCCTATGGTAGTCTCTAAGTTACTCACCACAGAATTTCATAGCTACCACGATAACTGAGAATGGTTATCATCAGAGGCAATGGGCTGCATTAATTTCAGTAGGTCTACTCTAACTTAGTTGGAGGAGGGAAGAAAGTGCCTCTTTGGAATATGCAGAAAATATATATATATATTTTAAAAGAACCACAGAAAGAGGGGGAAGGAAGTCAAGTTTTGAAATGTTAAAATGACTGCAAAATTATTGAAATGCATAAAACTGAAAATCATAAATATTTTTGCTACAGCTTTTTGGAGACAGTGCATTCTGATGGTGCGTGCAGTGATAAAGTGAAATGGTAAGAGATGAAAGAGCTCTAGGCATTACACAATACTGCTGTTCAATGACAATAATAATAATAATAATAATAATAATAATAATAAATGTGATAGGGAACCTGTGGCCATCAAATATGGTTGGACTCCACCTTCCATCAACCAGTGATCACAGGGATGATGGGAGTTGTAGTCCAACGGCATGTGAAGGTTCACTGGTTCCCAATCAGGGAGGTACAGAATCCTTACTCTTTGCCCTTTTATAAAAACAAGTCAAAGGGTTTCTTTTTTCCAGACAGCCTGTTGATCTGCAGATTTTACTCCCTTTTATTTTTATGGTCCTGACTAGCGGTTTTAAAATTTCATTTTAACATTGTGAGTTATCAACAGTGTTTTAAAATTACTACTAAAATACTATTAACAGCGTGTTCATGCATGTGTGCTTGCCTGCCCTGCAATTTACAGAATTAAAATCAATATACTTCCCCCTCAGATATGTAGGACTGGGCTTTTAATCAATAAATCATATTTCAGATGACAGCATCTCTAAAATTCACCAGATTAGCTCCATTGTCCTCAGCTCTGGGGCATCCACAGCAAATCCGACTACTTGATCTGTTGCAAATTTATCTTACTTAGACATTAAATATATAATTTTAGCTTGCTTATCATGAGAATCAGATATATGGACCTATTGAGTTTCCTCCTGGCACACACATTATCATCTTTTAGGTGTTAAGCAAATGCATTTTCATTTTCTCGGTCTTTAAAAAAATTGCTTTTTTTAAAAAAAACTTTTATTGCAAATGCTGTAGTCTCTTGGGGAACAAGTTGGGCCTTTTGTGTTTATTTAACATTCCGAATACTGTATTTTTGCTTTATCTGAATTGGTTAGCACAAAATGACTGCTGAAGTTGCAGGGTATAAATTATGGAAAACAATAAGCAGCAAACAAGCAAACAAATTGCGTTGCGCTTGTGACACATTGACAGCTCGGAAAGGAGGGAAAAAAGGCTGATATGTTAAATCTCCTCTTGCTCTTCTTGACTGCTTGTGCTGCTCTTTCGGCTGAGAAATACCCAAATTTTTAACAGATAAATTTATATTCAGTAGTGGCAGGGAGAACCAACTCCCTTCCAGCTGAAAAAAAACCCACCTGTCTGTGTTGGTCATTTGGAGACAATTCTGAATCGCCGCAGGTGAGCAGGAGACTGAAAATACACATGCCTGTTTTATGGATTCTCCCCAGACTTTGAGGGCTTTAGAGGAACACTGTTCTCTGTGCAGCATCATTTACCTGGGTTCACTGAGGTTCCAAGGACATAAGGTAAAATCTTCTCTGCTTATCAAGGACAGTCCTTATTTTCTGCCTCCTGTTTCTGGTAATTCTCTGTTTTCGCCTTCAGGGGATGCCTTGCTAAGAGGTTATGAATACAATTTCTGCCTTGCCTGACTACCGAGGCCTCATGCTTGCAAATCTCAGCCTTAAGTGGAAATGACATTTCCAAGCTTGCCTGCTGCTGTGGGAGGGGGAAAGGTTTGCAAAGAAGGCATTAGGACCTTGCCAGGTTCCTTATGGCGGCGGCAGAGTCCAAACTCAGAACTGGGCTGATGATGCGGAGAGTAAGGTAAAGGTAAAGGGACCCCTGACCATGAGGTCCAGTTGTGGACGACTCTGGGGTTGCGGCGCTCATCTCGCTTTAGTGGCTGAGGGAGCCTGCGTACAGCTTCCGGTTCATGTGGCCAGCATGACTAAGCCGCTTCTGGTGAACCAGAGCAGCGCACGAAAACGCCGTTTACCTTCCCACCGGAGCGGTTCCTATTTATCCACTTGCACTTTGACTTGCTTTTGAACTGCTAGATTGGCAGGAGCAGGGACCGAGCAATGGTAGCTCACCCTGTGGCGGGGATTTGAACCGCCGACCTTCTGATCGGCAAGTCCTAGGCTCTGTGGTTTAACCCACAATGCCACCCGCGTCCCTTCTGATGCGGAGAGTATATGCCCATATATATATAAATGTGATATATATATATATATATATATATATATATATATATATAACATTTGATTTGCATAGTCTAATTTCAAACCAAGCCAGTGGGGCATTTGCTCATTACTAATTGTGGTTTCTCAAATTTATTTATTTGAAAGATTTATTACTCGCCCTCCGCCACAAGCTCCCAGGGTAGGTTCCAGCACGTAGGAAATACAATTTCAAGGCAGATAAAATAAGTGTAATTGTAAAACCCATAAAACTGCTCCAAAATGGAACACAGTGACGTGAATTCAGCAAAGCAGGTGGGTCACAAAACCCAAAATGTGCATGTTAAAAACTGTACATCTCTGTAAGGAGGTGCAAGAAAAGCCTTGTTCTAGGATCAGGCCAATGGTCCTACTAGGGCATCATCCTGTTCTCCTAGTAGTCAACCAGATGCTCATGGCGAGAGCATAAGAACCCGAACACAATAACACTCCACCCAGCCATGGGTATTCAAAATGGCCATCCATGTTGGTGGGCATCACTGCTTATTGTGGGAGTGAAATTCCCATTTCCTGCACTTCTGAGGGTGATGGAAGAGCCAAGAGAGCCCTTCACAGAACCTAATGCCCAAGAAGATCAGCAGGGATGGAGAAGATTTGGGACCTAAATTGTTATCCATTAGGTAGCCTGTTTTAATACTGTGCAACACTTTGGTGAGGGGAGGATGAGGACTTCTGATGGGAAGGGGATGAGAAAGAGCAGAAATCAAGAACAATGAATAAATTCAGCACCCATCGCCAAAGACAGCTCCGGGCACCTTCTGCCCAGCTCAAGACCTTGATGGAATGCAGATTCTCTACCTCGTTTCTCCCCAAAGTAGAGCGTCTGTTGAGCAGGATTGGACCACTGTAGAGAGGAGTCATCAGGGTCTTCCACTTCACACTGGAGGAGCACCTTGGAGCCTGCGACCACGATTTCATCCGACGTCGTCGGCTGGCTCCCTGCAGGAAATCAAGAGGGATGTTGAACATAAGAAGAGAGAGAGAGAAGGGTGGGGTGGGGTGGGGAGAGACGCTGAACAACCTACCAACATAATATATGCAAGAGCCTAGTCCTCATTGAGGTGTGTCTGGGGCTCTAACACTTTGGGCTACAGCAGAAAGTTCACATCACAGAATGTCCCCCCCCCATACAAATTAAGTCCCCTGCACAAGTGAAAACTGTCATGTTAGTGAAAAGCTAAGCTTAAAAAATCCCTCTCCCTTCACATGCCAGTTCCATCCATACCCCACAAATGTGGAGGTGCACAAATTATTAATGGGAAGCCGTATGGACACCCTGCAAGCAAAACAGGGAGAAATGCGGGAGGAATGTCCATTGCCCTTATAACTGCCCTGCGAAGAAATCAGAACGAAGGCTCACTAAAACAGCAACCATCCTCCCAGCCCCTCACCACACCTGCAAGCTTTGTGTTGGCAAGTCAGGATGAATGCTCAGTAAACAGGTCATTTGGAAGATCCCAAAGGTGCCAAACAGTCAAGAAACACGAAGCAGAGGGAGAACAACAGCCTGTTTTAGAGGCTTCAGGCCTCTGGGCTAGTTGCCAGAACAGTGTGCAACAAAGCCAGATTATTCCTCCTCCGCCTTTTCTTCTTCTTCTTCTTCTCCTCCTCACACAATCATAGGATTGTAGAGTTGGATGGGACCCCAAGGGTCATCTAGTCGAACCCCCTGAAGTGCAGGGAACCACAGCTCAAAAATCCCAGACAGATGGCAAAAATTGTGCTTGAGCTTGCTTTCCCACCATTCCTTCTTCCTTGTGCGCCGTGTCTCTTTTAGATTTGTGAGCCTGATGGCTGGGAACTTTTTTAGTGCCAATTTTTGTAAGCTGCTCTGGGCCAATGGTGTGTAAGTGCTGCAAATAAATAAATAAATAGTGGCCTCTTTCCGATGGAAAGAAACCCCTCTTAGTTCCCAAGATTTCACCAGGCCTTGCCTGACCATCTTAAGGACTAGAAACCTGAAGCGATGTCTGCCTCCAGGTCCAGGTTCTGGCAGTTGCCCCATGGCACAACCTGCACATTCCCCAGTGAAGAGCAGCTAAGCAGCATACTGTTGGGATCGCTCAGTCAGTGGAGCCTGAGACTTTTAATCTCAGGGTTGTGTGCTTCAGCCCCACACAGGGCAAAAGATTCCTGCATTGAGGGGGTTGGACTAGATGACTCTTGTGTTCCCTTCCAATTCTACAGTTCTATGATTCTTTAAGGACCCATCACTGTTGGGTCCTCCCTGCGGGGGGGGGGGAAGGACATTGAGCAATTTACTGGAAGTTTCCTTGCTAAGCCCTCAGCAGCACCAGTAGAATAAACATATTTTAAGAATGTGCTTTCGTTGCCAGCTCCCCTTCTCAAGTCGTTGCCTCCGTTGCCTCTGGGGTCTGTGGGCGTCTCCGCTAAGCACATTCCATCCCGCCTCGTTGGCCGGGGTTACAGCCCCAAGTTCCTCCCCTCCTCTGCTCTGCCCAAAGAACCCATGCAAGAAACGGCTGGAGAATAAAATCTCCCCTAGCGCACAGCCTCAGCTGCCTGGCAAAACAGCAGCCCCTTGTCCTGTGTCCACTTCCCCCACACAGCCAAAGTATGCACAGAAGTGGCATTTCAGCGCATGGCTGTGGCACAATCGGCCGCAGCATCAAAATCACTTTGGTCAGGGCTGGATTAAGACCTTTCGGGGCCCATAGCACTTAAAAGATTTTGGAGCCCCCATATATATCTAATTCAAAACATAAACAACAATAAATTCTATTTTTCAAAATGAAACAGAACTTACAGTCAGGTGGGAAACAATGTTTGTTTTTGTAGACTTCCACTTTATTTATATTTCATTCCCCTCCCCCCCAATTGCATAGTCTTTGATCAGATCCTCAAAACTAATCTTATGCAATGCATCTGCTTCTATACTTAGTTGTGATAAGGCCTCCAGCCCACCTTGTTGACTAGTTGCTCCGCTGGGATTTTAAAAATATACTTCAATTGAGAAAATGAACGCTCAGCTGAGCCACTGGTGACCATCAATGCTAAAAATCTGGCAATGGAAAATTTCTGTGGTGCCCCTGCTTATTTTGCTTAATGGTTAATCCAGCCCTGGGAACAATTCAGGAATGTACCTGAGCCAGGTATCCTGATTGGTAAGGATGCATCAAGAGCCCTGCTGAACTATGCCAAAAAGCCCATGGAGACCACAGAAAGCTGCCTTATCCCAAGCCGGGCTACTGGTTTGTCCAGCTCAGTGTTGTTGACACTGGCTGGCAGCAGCTCTCCGGGGTGTCAGGCAGGGAACATTCCCGGCCTTACTTGGAGATTTCGGCGATTGAAACCGGCCCCCTTCTGCATGCAAAGCAGATGGCCTACTGAGTTACAGACCTTTCCCAACACGGGAAGGTGCCTTCTATTCAGTCAGGCCATTGATCCATTTAGCTTAGTCCTGGCAGCACTGACTGGCAGCAGCTCTCCAGGATTTTAGACGGGGGGTCTTTCCCCAGCCCTGACAAGTGATGACACAGTTTGAGTCCTGGACCTTCTGCATGCAAAACAGGTTCTTCTCACCACTAAAGTGTTTCCCCATTAAACTGCTTCCCTCAGAAGTTGGCATGGCACACTCCAACAGCCAGCCAGATGCCTCTTTGGAGGCTGGCAAGCAGGACATGAATTCTGCAGCCCTCTCCACACAGTCATCTCCTTCTGCACACGTTCCAGCTTGTCAATAGCCTCTTTAAACTGTGGTGCCCAGACCTGGATACAGCATGTCTGGGGTTTCTGAAAACCTGGAGCCTGGCCTGCCAGTGTGGACTTCACTGGCTCATGGTCAAGCAACCAGCCAGCATGGCAATGGCCCCAGCAGCAGAACCTCATCAGAGACAAGGTGGTGTTCCTGTCAATTCCATATAACACTAGCCGTAAAGGGTCTACACTGACTCCTGGTATGTTTCCAAGCACAATTCAAAGTCTTGGTGCTGACCTTTAAAGCCCTAAACGGCTTCGGCCCTGTATACATAAAGAAGCATCTCTACCCCTTTCATTCAGCTCAAACACTAAGGTCCAGCTCCGAGGGCCTTCTGGTGGTTCCCTCACTGTGAGAAGTGAGATTATAGGGAACCAGGCACAGGGCCTTCTCAGTAGTGGCACCCACCCTGTGGAACATCCTCCCATCAGATGTTAAGGAAATAAACAACTATCTGGCTTTTAGAAAACATCTGATGGCAGATCTGTATCGAGACGTTTTTAAATGTTTGACGTTTAATGTTTATATGTGTTGGAAGCCGCCCAGAGTGGCTGGTTCACCCAGTCAGATGGGCAGGGTATAAATAATAAAATAATTGTTGTTTTCTGCTCAAATCAGGAGGGTTGAGGAGTATATGGAAGGAGGCTGTGTGTGTGTGTGTGTGTGTGTGTGTGTGTGTAGAAACCTCTGGCTTTTGCATGGCCGGAATGTCACTTTCTGTACGAAGGTAAGAATTAGATCGATGCCTGTGCCCATCTATGCCTCTGGCCCCGCCCACCATGGGCAGGTGGCCCCTGGAAGGCTGTCCACTAGGGAAGGTGGCCCTCAGCCCAACAAAAGTTCTCTACCCTGCTGCAACATGGGAGCATACTCTTGGTAGCCTGGTTCATAAACCATGTGTAAATTATGGGCGACGGGCAGGAGGAACTGCAGCGAGACAGAGCACCTAAATCCTTGAAAACAGCCTGTACTAGAAACCATAAACTCGTCTCCCAGTAGGGAAAGGAGAGACAATCAATTCTGTTCACATTTAAAGTCAAAGCTACCTAATCCCCACTTCCCAAAACAGTACACAACTGAAACGCATCCCCTCTTTGAAATTCACACTTCTCTGAATTTTGCAATTCACTTCTCCACCTCAGCACTGTGTACCTAGGGCCCATCACAATGCATACAGGATGGTGATTTATGTTTACTCTTCCTCCAAGGAGCTCTGTGTGGTTTTTGCACAGTTCTCCTCTCCATTTTATCCTCACAACAACCATGGGAGGTAGAGGAGGCTGAGAGCAAGTGACTAGCCGAAGACCACCCAGTAAGCTTCATGGCTAGAGTTGCCAATTCAAAGACTACAGTATTTGAAATATGGCAACCCTATTCATGGTGAAGTGGGGATTCGAACTCTGGTCACCCAGGTCCTAGACCGACAAACTAACCACTACACCATGATCGCTCTCTAGTGAGAAGAATGTACCCAAATGCTTTGTTCCAGTGGAACTTCCTTTGCAAAAATGTGTAGATAGGCAAAGTTGGGTACAGTGATGGAGAAATTTGCATGAAAACGCTGATGGATTTCCACGACGACTTTTTAAAAAAAAATCACAAACTGATGCAGAGAACTAAACTTAGGACTGTAGAAATGAGGAACAGAGAGAAACTGAAATGGACAGATTTCCCTTCCTCCCTGCTGAGTGAATCTTTGCTGCCCAATGTTTAATCCTCCTTGCCCAAACGCAACCAGGCTCCAGTCTATTTTCTGCTGTCAAATCTCATCCCCTTTTCTCTGCTCTTCGGTTGCCATGGAAAAGAATTGATCTTTATATCATCTTCCGAAGAAAAACAGTGCCTCTCCACCCCCTTTGGAAGATGCCACCAATGCCCCATGGCTGTCAATCTTCTTGACTTGCGTCTAAAAGGGGCAAGGGGGACCCGGGGAGCGTGTTCCGTATGAAACTGGGTCAAGGGGGAGCAAATGAACCAAACCCCAGGTGCATTGTGGGGGGAAACCTGCACCATTTGTTTTCAGAGAGAGACAGAGCAAAGGAGCAGAGCTCATTCAGGTGCTCTGCCCCAGGACCTGTTTTTATTATTTACAACCAAAAAAAGTGCCTGTGCTTTGGATGGAGAATATCTATATATTGCGGGGAGCCCATTATACCTCCTCCAGTGAGCAGCCTGCCTGAGGGGACCTGGGCTGCTCAGCAATGGGGGCAGCGAGCAGATG